GCTCACTCTCCTCAGCCCTCCTACTCATCCTCCTCCGCCTTATCCTGCTCACTCTCCTCCTCACTCTCTCCCTCCTCCTCCTCCTCCTCTTCCTCCTCCTCCTCCTCCTCCTTCTCCTCCTCCTCCTCCTCCTCCTCCTCCTTCTCCAGAAGTCTGGACCCCTTCCCCAAAACCGGCTTTTCACCCTGAGTCGTTTTGTTTGACGGCCTCGAGGCCCGGGTAAGGGCTCCCAGGGGCCGACAACGACGGAACACCTCCCGTCGTGATTTTTCTCTTCACACCCCTGGAGGGGCCGGACCCACTCCCCAGAAGGCCGGTGTTTCGTCGTGAGTCGTTTTTCGCAGCTCCCGAAGCCCCGCGAGGGTCCCCAGAGGCCGAAAACGGCCAGAACCCGCCCGCTCACATGTTTTCAGAGCGTCGGATCTCTAGGCACCTTTCTTCACACCCCCATGTGGCCGACCTCGGAAACCCTTGCCCCAAAAATGTTGCCACCTCTTGGGGGCGCATCTTTTACTTCCGCCACCTTCCGCCGCCCTTTTCGCCGCCCTTCCGCCGTCTGAAGCGGCCTCGTTTTGCGTCCGCGGCCTTCCGCCGCCCTTCCACCGCCTTCCGCCGCGGAAGAGATAGCAACTCCTTCTATCTTCGAAGGCACCTGTCTTCACACCCCCATGTGAGCGAGGGTCTGAAGCGAGATGGCATAGCGACCTCACGCAGTGGCTTACACGGGCCGCTGGCGCGGCACACTGCGTGGATAAAGCGGGCGCTTACGCGCGACCTTACACGGGCAGCTTACGTGCGAGTGTCGGCGCAGATGAACACGTCTCTAGGCACCTTTCTTCACATCCCCATGTATCGGCTGCACGCAAGAGGCAACCCTAAGCAAGCGTGACCTCTAGTGCCGGGGGGCCCTTTGGGGACACACCAGGCGCGCAAGCCGCTGCTATCGCATCGCGGTCAACGATCGGGGGGCCCCATTGGGCCCGCACCAACACCCCCAGACGTCATAATTTGTTCATAACGTCGACCCCAAGAGGTCTTGACCCATTCCCCAGAACCCGTTTTTCAGTCTGAATCGTCGTTGACGGTCCCGAGGCCCAGTAAGGGCCCCTGGAGGCCGAAAATTACGAGAAAAACCTACAGCCGCGATATTTTTATGACCCGACGGGGGACTGGGTTGGGCCCGCACCAAAGGTCACTCCAGCGAAAGGTCACTTACGTGAAGCTTTAGGTCTGGCATGCCCTCCTACAGGCGGGTTTTGGAAGAAACATAACACATGAGAAGAAACCGGAAAAAGAGCCCAAAGAGCACGAGCAGTCTTCACCAGACTATTTCCCGACTCTTCTTGCACATTCCTCCTGCGGAGGGACACGCCCGACTCACGTGTAGCCTTAGGTCGGGCGTGTCCTCCTACCGGCGAATTCTGGAAAATAGCACAGCTTCAGCAATATTCAAAAAAACGAAGAGCAAACAACAAATCCCCCCTGCTTTTCTAGATTGAAAAAACCAGTTTTGAACAATCCTCCTGTAGAGGGACGTGCCAGACCCACGTGTAGCCGAACGTATCGTCCCCCCCCCATACGCAGCGCGTCCTCCGGCGCGCCGGGCGCCGGGCCGCCCGCGGCGCAGAGGCCCTCCAGGAGCTCGGAGATGGCGGGCTGCACCGCCCTCGGAGGAGCCGCAGAGAGATACGGCGAGGGCACCGGACAGGGAGCCACTGGGAGCCTGCTTTCTGTCGGGGGCGCGCCAGGATGGAATTGGCGATCCGTAGATCTGGCGCGCGGTCGCAACATCCGTGGATCGGGAGAGGTGCCCTCCCCCAAATGCAGCCGTTGCCGCCTCGTTCGGCGGCGAAAATCCGCGATTTCCCATGGAAGCGGGCCCCGTCGCCAATCCACGCCGCCTTGATCCATGTTTGCGATCGCCTGGCATTGGGAGCGTGTTTTTTTAGATTCAGGCAAGTTTACCTTCATGGCGTTCGCCTCCCCCCCCCACCCGCCCCCCTGGCACCTCCTCGCACGAACACCAGCGTACAAGTGCCTTTCGACTTACGTGATTTCCGCACGCGCAGGTCGTTTGCGACTTGCTTCAGATTCAGCCCCCCCCGTCCACGCAAGTAAACTTGCCGGAGTCTCCAAAAACAGGCTCTTGGATAATAAAGAACCATTGGGTAAGGATTCGGCGAGGGCGTTGGATGGGGAACCATGGAAAGCGACGTTGGGCTGCCCTGAAGTGTTGACTGGTGCCCGCCAACAAAAATCGACAACGCAATTTTGGATCCGACGGTCACCCCAATCCCGCGGCGACTGCCGGGCTTGATGACCATTGGATGAAGAATCCCCACAGACCCACTCGAGTCGTGATAAAAATCACGACGGGTGGGTTTCCGCCATTCTCGGCCTCTGGGGGCCCTTACCTGGCCTCAGACGCGTCAAAAACGACTCGGGATGAACCAGAAAACAAAGGACGCCACCCACCCTACGGCCTCCCGGCGCTTAGCCTATGCCAGCATATCTGGCGTGGGCTTTTGCGCGGTAAACGCTGCGGCCCCTGTTAGGTCGTAGCGCAACATGGGGGGCCGTAGGTGAGGTGGTGTTGTTTGTTTTTGGTCGATAAAGAACTGTTGCATAAGCCCAGACTTCCTCGAGACTTGGAGAACACAGTACGGGAGGTGGTCCACCATTTTCGACCTCTGGGGGCCCTTACCCGGCCTCGGGACAATCAACAAAAACGACTCGGGATGGAAAGCCGGTCCCTGGGAATGGGTCGAGACCTCTGGGGGTCGACGTTATAACCAAAATGGGACGGTGAGGGCGCTGGATAAGGAACCGTTGGATAAGAGAGCCAGAGTCTGGAGGCCGGTGGAACTCCAATAGTGGATTGGCCATGGATTTCACCGACGCCCTCATCAGATGAGTAACCCTCCAGGGTATGAAGCCTCCTGGGCACTTTCCTTAATCAACGCCCCCACAGTTGTCCCACCAGCCCTTCGGGCTAAGGTGGTTCAGAGAATTCTTTCTTCCCTCTTCCAGAAACCTTCTTCCCTTCGGGAGTCAGGGCGCCCAAGACGGCCCAAGACGGCCCCAATAGAGCCCATGACGGCCGCCAAGATGCCTCAAGATAGCCGACGACGTTTCAGTGTAGCTTCCGACATACCTCCAAGAGGCCCGACGAGGGCCTGAAGACGGTTCCATGTGTCTCGGAGCCCCGACTGGCACCCCCAAGAAGCCAAAGTCCTTTGAAAAACCTAGGGGGATCAATGACTTGCGTACCTTTTTGCCTTTCGTTTCAGATGCGGCTTTGATGCGTCAATATGGCCCCGAGCGCCCACGAGCGCCCCCAAAGGCGGTCTTGATGGCCCTAGAGGGGGGAGACAAATCGAAGACCCCCCTCCTTCGATTGATAGCCTCCAAGATGGCCTCAAAAAGCCCTTCAGGGCTCCCAAGGGGTCCCCAAGAGAACCCCAAGGAGGCCCCACGACGGCCCCAAGACGGCCCCAACAGCGCCTAAGAGTTCCCAAAGAGCGAGCGCCCCACGAGGGCCCCAAGAGGCGGTTTTCCTCATCCTCCCTCTCCTCCTCCTCCTCCTCCTCCTCCTGCTCCTCCTCCTCCTCCTCCTCCTCCTCCTCCTCCTCCTCCTCCTCCTCCTCCCCTCGCCCCCCCCCCTCCCCCGCGCGCCCCAAGAATGGCCAGACGAGGCTTCCAATGCCACCCTGGTGTTCCCAGAGATCTCTGTGTTCATCTTGGTTGCCCGCTTTTTGTTCACTACATGTGTCCCTTCGTCTCGTTTTCCGTCAAGTCTCTGGACAACAATTCTAAACGGGCTGGTAGGGATTTGTTTCGATCGCGAACGCAAGCGGAAAGGCCGCGCGCCGTCCACAGCAACGGTAACCAACAGTAGTCTAAATTTCATACTAGAGAGAAGATAAGAGAGACAACGGGAGAACAGCAGGAGGTGAGACAAGCTGGGGCGGGCCGCGCGGCGCACACGGAGGGGGCGCCATCGGCAGCTGCAGTCGCCAGGGGTGCACGCCAAAATGGCGGGCCATTGGCTGGCAGGGTGGTGTCCCGAGGCGGCGGCGACGGGAAACCCCGCGGGAAATAGCGGGCCGCAAGCACCCGCGCCTCTACGGGGGGCAGCACGCGGGGGGCTGAGCGCGGCAAGGGCTATGCATCCGGGCAAGGGGATCAGGCCTTCAGGCGTGTCGAAGTTCAGGCGTGTCGAAGCCCATGGGGGTGGCGGCGGAACGAGTGAGCGGCGACTGGACAGCAGTGCGCGCCGGGCTGGTGGGGATTTCTTTGTCGCAACCGCAGGCCAAGGCGCCGGCGGCGTCACAGGTCGGCTCGGGCTACGAGCAGAACAAAACAGCTAAACATACCGCTGGGGGAAGCTGGGCAGCGCCGAGGGCAGGGGCTGCAAGAGCTGCCGGGGGCTGCCAGGAGGCTGTGCAGGCGCGTGGGCACCCCAGGGACGAGACCACCGGGAACATACGAACGTTCGGACACATAAGGCACACCCCTGCAGGTCGAATTTCGGGGGGAAAGCAGGCTGGGGCTCAGCCTTTTAAAGATGTCCCCTCCGCTGGGCTGGAGGCGCCGCCAGGGTCTGCAGAGCCGATCCATCAACTCCGAGCCGACCTCCGAAGTGTGTATCGTTGTTTGTCCTGCGAAGCCTGGCGGCACTGGGAGCAGACATTTGCTTCTCCTGGGGGGGAACCAAGCGATACCGGTACCGCAACTCCCTGGACCTCTCCCAGGGTGCGCTCTGACCAGAATTTCGAGGCGAATCCAGCCGTGGCGACGAGGGCCTCCCAGGAGGCCCACGAAAGGCGAAAACAAATCAAGGGTGGCGGCATCGGTACCAATACCCAGAAATCGGGCGTCCGGATTTGTTCGAAGCACGGGCCCCCGACCTCTCGACCAGTTCCCCAGGACTGTTGTTTCACCCCGATTGAATCGTTTATTGACGGCCCCAGGGCCCAGGAAGGGCTCCGAGAGGCCGAAGAGCACGGAGAACCTCCGCCTCGGTTCTGCCGAGACGCCGGACGTCTGGGCACCTTCTCCTCCTCGAGGGCTCCAGGTAGCTGTGGAACTGCAGCACGGAGTGCGCCGAGAGCCGCCTCAGCCGCACCTCCGCCTGCCGCGCAATGCCAAGGCTGGGGAGGCGTAAAAATAGGTCGGGCATGTCCCCCTACAGGCGGATTTTCTACGAAAAGATAACAATACCTCAAAAAAGCCCCCAAATTGTCAAAACATGCTCAACAAATCGTCCCCAGACTATTTTTTGACTATTTTTGAATTCTCCTCCTGTAGAGGGACAGGCCCGACTTAAGTCCAGGGGTCTCGGGCTGGCCTGACGGGGCCGTCGGGAAAAATGGCAAGAACCAGCTCGAGACTTGGCGCGAGCTCTCCCGCTGCAAAACGCCCCCCCAGACTCGGACCGTCAGAGGTCTGGGACGTGAGAGATGCGAGAGCGGCGGTGATGCACCGTACCGTATCTCGACTCCGCTCAGCCCCCGCTCCAGCGCGGCACGATGCACCGTGTACCATTCTTGGATGGAGGAGCGACGACGCCTCGGGAGACGCCAACGCGGCACGGTGCACGCGAGTCGTCCGCGGAAGAGAGCTCCGGCGAAGCAGAGCCCTGGCGAAATCGAGCAGCACGTTGCCCCGCCAAGGGGGGGAGGGCCCTCGGGGGGTGGGGGGGGCCTACGGCTCGAGGCACTGGGGGCCCCCCAGGGACCCTTGGCGGCGCGCACAGGGGGTACGGAGGGAGGGGGAGGGCCTCTTGGAAGGAGGCTGCTTCTCAGAAGGCGCCAGCCTTACATCTGCAGCTAAGGCCCGCGCCTTCTGAGAGGCAGGGGCGATTCTAAGGAGCCTTCCCCTCTCCCCCTACCCCCCCCTGCGCGCCGCCAACACCCCCAGGGGCAAGGGAAAGGCTCGGCCAGGCAAAATTCGGCCAGGCGGAACTCGGCCAGCAGAACTCGGCCAGGCCGACGCTCCGAGCAAAATTGGAGTGTGCGATTTTTGTCAGTTTTCGGCCTGCGGGGGCCCACGCTGGGCCTCGGGAGTGCCAAAAACAATTCAGGACGAAACGCCGGCTGGGGCCCAGTGGGTCCCAGCCGGCTTTTCGTGAATTTGAATTTGTGCGGTGCGTGACGCACCGCACAAATTCAAGCATCCGGATGTCTGGGAACTCGGCCAGCAGAACTCGGTCAGGCTGAACCCGGCCCGGGACGGGTGCAGCCTGGCCGAGGTCAGCCTAGCCGAGCCGAGTTCAGCTGGCCGAAACCAGCCTGGCCGAATTTTCCCTGGCCAGACTCAGCTGCTGCCCCAGGACCTCAAGGACGACCAAAGACGCCCAGAGCTTCGTCGATTCCCCCTCTCGGCCCTCGATCTCCACCCCAAAGACGACCCCAAACGCCCAACACTTCCTCGACCATCGATTCCCCCCTCCCCCTCAACCCCCGACTCCTGTCCCAAAGCCGACCAAGAACACCCCAAACTGCCTCGACCATCGATCCCGCCTCCCCCTCGACCCTCGACTCCCACTCGCAAGCCGACCAAGAACGCCCCAAACTTCCTCGAGAGCATCGATCCCGCCTCCCCCTCGACCCTCGACTCCCACCCCAAAGCCGACCAAGAACGCCCCAACTTCCTCGAGCATGACTCGTAGAGCTTCCCTACGAGCTAAGCGGCGAAACTAGAGAGTAATTCCGGCGCGCTGGGGGGCTAGTTTGCCCGAAAAATCTCGACGGAAGTTATGTTTTTTACCTATTTAAAATCGATTTCTCAAAATTTGAACATTCGTTAGAGCTCCAACATTTTCCCCCATATTCGATCTTATTGCCGCTCGCCATCTTAATCTCAGGTCGATCGGGTAGATACTACTGTCAAAAAAACACTCAGGCGGGATCGGCTGTTGAGTGTCATCTTGATAGGTGCTGTCGGTTTTCTGAACTTAACTCGAGTTGTAGGACAGCTACAAAGCTGACAGGCACACCTACTCTATCTGGAATTATCAGGCGCGCCAGTCTCAAGTATCTAGATGTCCGAACTCGGTCTGCTACCAGAGCTAGGACTAACAAGCTATTCGTGCGCTGCTAATGCTTCAAGAGATGAGGATGATTTCCTTGATGCAACTCAGGCCGCAGATAAGCTCCAGGGCTGTTCAGCATAGCAATCGGAAGGTATTCATCGAAAGCGCTAGTTACAGGTATCTAGCTGCCTGAACTCAATATGCTACCAGATCTGGAACAAAAAAACCTATTCGGACTCTGCTATTTTTAAGAGATGATGATTATTTTCTTAACTTGAATCGAGCTGTAGATTAGCTACAGAGCTGTTCGGCACAGCAATCGTGGGGAAATCCAGAGGCGCGCTAGTCTCAAGTACCTGGATGTCCGAACTCGGTCTGCTACCAGAGCTAGGACCAACAAACTATTCGTACTCTGCTAATTCTGCAAGAGATGAAGATAATTTCCAATACAACTCAAGCTGCAGATAAGCTCCAGGGCTGTTCAGCTCAACAATCGGAAGATACGCATCTAAAGCGCTAGTTACAAGTATCTAGATGCCTGAACTCGGTCTGCTACCATATCTGGAACCTATTCGGAGCCTGCTAATTCTTTAGGACATGATGATTATTTTCTCAACTTAAATCGAGCTGCAGATGAGCTACGTAGCTGTTCGGACCAGAACTCGAGAGGCAATCCAGAGGAGCGCTCGTTCAAGTATCTAGATGCTGGACTCGGTCTGCTACACGAGCTGGAACGCAACAACTATTTGTAACCTTCTAATGTTTAAAAAGATGGTGATAGTTTGTTCTACTGCGTTCGATCTGTAGGCTGGCTACGGACCTGAAAAACACTTGTCGGAGCAGAAGGTAACCAGGTACATTCGCCTACGGTATCAAGACGTCTGAATTCGGACTGCAACCACAGCTAGGACTGGACAACGGTTCGCACTGTAAATATTTTACCAGAGACGATGTCCGTTTCCTGAATTGAATTCCTCCTTCTCCTCCTCCGCCTCCTCGTTCTCCTCCTCCTCCTCCTCCTCCTCCTCCTCCTCCTCCTCCTCCTCCTCCCCCTCCTCTTCCTTCTCCATATGTTTCTTCTCCTCTTTTTCTTTCTCTTCCTCCTCCTCCTCCTCCTCCTCATCATCATCATCATCATGTCCCCCTTCTCCCCCTCCACCCTTCCCCCTCCTGCTCGTCATCCTCCTCTTCCTCCTTCCCCTCCTTCTCCTCCTCCTGCTCCTTATCCTCCTCCTCCTCCTTCTCTATCTCAGCCTCTTCCACCTCCTTCTCTTCCTCACTCCTTCTTCTCCTCCACGTCCTCCCCATGAAACCGCACCCTCGCGCGCACGGAATGCGAGATTGCCGCGCCCGTATCCCATTCATGTATGTGGCAAGGAAGCTCTACGAGTTCCCGGCGGTAACCAAGGTTGACGGTTTACCGCCGGCTCCCCGTTGATCCCCCTTGCCCCTCGAACCTCGACTCCCACCCCCAAAGCCGACCAAGAACGCCCCAAAACTTCCTCAAGCATCGATCCCCCCCCCTCGACCCTCGCGTTCTTGGTCGGCTTGGGGGTGGGTGTGGGAGTCGAGGGTCGAGGGAGGGACGATCGATGCTCGAGAAGTTTTGGGGCGTTCTTGGTCGGATTGGGAGTGGGAGTCGATGGGGAGGGGGGATCGATGCTCGAGGAAGTTCCTCGAGCATCGATCCCCCCTCCCCTTCGACCTTCCCAGAGAATGAGCTTAGTGACCCCCCCTGGTGGTGACCCCCCCAGGAGTCCAGAATCGAGTCGATAAGACGCATCGGCGAATCGATAGTTGAGTCGGATCGGCGGCTGAGATCGATCGCCGATCGGCGATCGCAATCGACGAATCGGCGATCGGCGAATCGATAGATTGGATCGGCGACCGAAATCGATCGCCGATCGGCGATCGGCGAATCGATGAGTCGGATCGGCGATCGAAAAGCGGTCGCCGATCCACGGAGAAGTCGGGAGAAGTCGGGAGAGAAGTCGGATCGGCGGAAGTCGGCAGGCCAATGATGCCTCCGTCGAGGAACCGAAGGCCAGAGCGAAGTCTGGAATCGGAATCGGAATCGAATGGAGTCGGGAGATACAGTCGGGGCCTTGACCTAAGGAACCCTAAATAAGGAACGAGGCCCCTTTTTTCCATAAGTGAAACTTCGATTTCCGATCGAAAACATAAAGAAAACCTGGGGCAAGCTGTGAAACACTTAAGGAACGCGGAGCCCCTCCCCAACCAAAAGGGTTCCTTCTTCAGGGCCCCGACTGTATCGGACGCGCGGAAGTCGGCAAGCCAGGAGGCCTCCCTCGAGAAACGGAAATCCAGATCGAACTCCGACATCGAGTCGAAGCGGAATCGGAATCGCGATCGGAATCGAATCGAGTCGGAGAAGTCGACCTGAGCTTTGCTTTTTCCCCTGTGGCACTGCGCGGCCGCCTGAGCCAGCTCGGCGCGGAGCTCCCCGTGGCGGCGGCGGAGCGAGCGGAGGCGCAGGACCTCGTGCGCGAGGCCCTCGAGCCTCTCTGGCAGCGCGCACCAGGGTGTCCAGGGAGGGGGGAAGGCTTCGAACCTGATTTTTTTGGAAAAATGCTTGCATGGCATTCGCCCCCCCCCCCCCCCCTCGCCACCCCCACGTCCATGCTTGTGAACTTGCCAGAATCTGAAGAAAACAACTCTTAGGACGCTGCTTGTTAGAAGGTGCCAGCCTTCCATCCATAGGCATCACAAGAGGAATAGGTACCCCCATACCGCTGCCATTCGCCCGTTTCCCCTTCTTCGCCGTCCTGGGAGGCTCTCGCCGCCACCGTTGGATCCGCCTCGAAATTCATGTCAGAACGCAGCCCGTGAGAAGTCCGGGGAGCACCGGCATCAGTACAGGTAACTTCTAGTATGCCCAAGATGAGGCCCGCGCCTTCTAAGAAGCAGGGGTGCTTCTGAGAAGCCTCCCCCCCACACCCTCCCCCTACAGCTGGACCTGGGCCAGAAGAACGCCCTCCAAGGGCATGAGACCCTGCGCCGGCCAGTACCCACAGAACATCCAAGGGTGCCCCCCCAGGATGCACGAGAGCATCCCACAAACACGAAGAGCAATAGGGCAACCTCCCCGGACCGACCTCGCTCTTCTGCCTCGGTCCGGCCCCCCCCTGCGCGTGGCCGGCCTCTCCAGGGAGGCTGCCCCGGCCTCCGCCGCAGCGCCCGCCATGCCGCCGGCGATCGGCCTCCTCCAGGAAAAAAGGCCCAGACATGCGACGTCCTGACTTTTTCGGGACGGCGTCCCCGAAGTCCCAACCCCTGCAGGACCAGTTTTTCATATCCTGAGTCCTTTTTTGACGGCCCCGAGGCCCGGCGAGGGCCCCCAGGGGCCGAACTTTGCGAAAAACCTCCGTCCTGACTTTTTCGATCTTGAAAAAGCCAGGACGGAGGTCCTGACTTGATCAGTATGCGCTCTCCCAGAGATCCCAACGCTCCCAGAGATCTCAACGCATATACTGAAGGGGAATTGGGACACACAAATAAATACACACAAATAAAAGGATTCCCTGTATTTTCCCATCTATGTTCTGGGTTTCTGTCTCCCCCCCCACTTCCCACATTTTCCCATATTTTCAACGGAAATCGACGATGAATTGTGTCTGTGTGTTTTTTCCCCTCCTGATCTACGTTGGGATCTCTGGGAGCGCGCACGGCGCGAGCGCAGACCTCTGGAGGTGCGCGCGGACGCCCTGGGTCGGCTCCCGGCGCCGCCCCCCCGGCGGCGCGAACCCGCGCGCCCAGGGAGGGGGGGGGCCGGCGCCAGGGAGGGGGGGGGGGCGGCGCCGATCTCCAGGAATGGGAGGGGCCCAGGGGCACGCAGAAGCATGCACACAGATACAACTACTCCCGTTTTTGTTCTCATGTGCTCTGGGTTTTCGTTTTTTTTCTCCTGTGCTCTGGATTTTCGTCTTCCTTCCACTTCCCGTATGTTCCCATGTCTCCCCGGGGATCGCCGGTGAAGTGTGTCTGTGTGTCTTCCCCCTCCTGCAGGAAGTCCGCGCGGGCCTCCGGAAGCTTGCAGTGAGTGTGGGCAACTGTGTCTCTGCCGACGCTCGCCTCCTGCGGACAGTCTGGCTGGAGCTGGCTATCCCAGGCATGCTCCGAGCAGTGCAAGCACCACGGCGGCACAAAAAAAAGCCTGCCCGCCTTCGGCCTCCTCTGGGGAGCCTCGCGCCGGGGCCCCGAGGAGCCTTCCAGCGCGACACCCGGGATCGAGAACTGCAGCCCCCCCAGACCCCCGACGTCATGATTTTTTCATGACGTCGACCCCAAGCGGTCTGGACCCATTCCCCAGGACCGGTTTTTCATCCCGAGTCGTTCTTTGACGGTCCCGAGGGCCGGTAAGGGCCCCCAGAGGCCGAAAATCCTGAAAAACCTCCCGTCGTGATTTTTTCATGACTCGAGGGGGTCTGGGCCTGGGGTTCGCAGGGGGTCGGGGCTTCCGGGGGACCCCGCACTGCAAAAAAGGCCAGGGCGGCGCATGCCTGGGTCCGCCTGTGTGCCCGGCGCTCGAGCCTCGGAAGCGGCTGTGGAGAGGGGAGGGGTGCACGGTTTCCCCCGGGGCCGCAGGCGACCCGAGGAGGAGGAGGAGGAGGAGGAGGAGAAGGAGGAGGAGGAGGAGGAGGAAGAGGAGGAAGAGGAGGTGGAGGTGGAGGAGGACGAGGAGGAGGAACAGGAGGTGGTGGTGGAGGTGGTGGTGGAGGTGGTGGAAGAGGAGGTGGTGGTGGAGGTGGTGATGGAGGTGGTGGAGGTGGTGGAGGGGGAGGAGGAGGAGGAGATGGCGCAGGAGGAGCCAGGGAGGGGAAGCGTCCAGGTCCAGGCCTCCGCTGCTTCCTGCCGTCTGCTGCTCTGTTCTTCTTCACTCTGAATTCCTGTGCTGTGCGCGGGGGCCTGGGCTTACGTCGGGCGTGTCCCCCTACAGGAGAAATATTCAAAAATAGAAAAAATAGTCCGGGGACGATTTTCCAGTACATTTAAACTATTGTTGCACATTGTTCGACCATTTTCAGGGGAACAAAGAGTGGCATTAACATCAAAAACTCCGCGCGGACCTCCGAGTTTTATGTTTATGCCATTGCTCGTTCACCTAATGTTGTAGTCTCGTCACACAAAACACAACATCTTTAGGGGGACATGCCCGACCTAAGCCTCGGCCCACTGCCGAAGCGGGCGGCCGGATCGGATCGGCAGGCACGTCGGGTGAGGCCGCCTCGGCACGGCACCGAGCTCGAGTCGGATCGGCGGCGCGAGGGCGCACCACGGCGCCGCGCGGGCCGCGGGCCGCAGCGCATCGCCGGAAGAGATCGGGCTCGAAGCGGATCGGAGCCGTCCTCGAACGCACGGCAGAGGGAAACAGTTACTGAACACTCCCCCTCCCCCCCAAACTCAATGTCGGCACGCGTGGGGGAGACTGCGGTCGAAGTGCACGTCATCAGACCCAGGGATAACTTTGAACAATGGGGGGAGAGGGAGGCGTTGACAGATGAATGTGACATGAGTGTTCGCTAATTTGTTCCGAGGCCTGTATCTCTGTACCCCTGCGACAGGCAAGCTGGAGGCGATGACCAGCCTAGGAAGATGCCAGGGGTTCCTTGAGATCGGCCCAGGGCGAGGTGATGCCAAGCACAGGCATGAAGGGATGCGTGGCGCACTTCGGGAACCGGCGGGCGGCCCGTGCGCGGCCGGGGGGGGGGGGGGGGGGCGAGGACGCACTGGAATGAGAAGATCGAGAAACAGAAAACGCCACAAGCACAAACATTCGGCGCTCCGCGCGGATTGTTTTTGGATCTGCGCTGGGCCCCCTCTCTGGCGCGCGGAGCGCGCCAGGGGCGGCGCCGGAGGCGCCGCTGGGAGGGGGCCCAGCGCGGATCCAAGAAATCCGCGCGGAGCGCCAACAGTTTATGCTTATGCCGCTTCTCCTCCCTCGAGGAAAGGCGCAGTGAAATCTGGAAGGATATCATGACCTCCGCCATGATATCCCCCCCCCTTGTCACCACCCCCCTCTCGGCCGCCCCCGAGGGAGGGCGGCTCGGCGGGCCACTCGGGCTCGCAAGTAGCCGCTCGCGGCGTCGACACCGCCGGGCCGCCGCCGCGGTCGGCGGGCTTTCCTCCAGGCGGCCGGGCCCGCGCGCTGCCCGGGCGGACCCGACATGCACTCTTCCCAGACCCCCTCTGGCAATGAAAAATCATGACGGGAGGTTTTGTGCTAGTTTCGGCCTCTGGGGGCCCGTACCGGCCCTCGGGACCGTCAAAAAACGACCCAGGATGAAAAACCGGCCCAGGGGAATGGGTCGAGACCTCCAGAGGTCGACGGTATGAAGCGAAGCGAAGCGGACGCCGGATTCGTGCGCGCTCCTCCGGGGGAGCCCGCCCGTGCCCCGTGGCCTCGGCAGGGGAAGATCGCCGAAGTGTTCAGGCCTGGCACGACGTCGAGGGTGCTAAGCGTCCCTCGGGCGCCGCACGGAGGGGGCGATCCATGAGGGAGCAGCGGGGCCTGCAGCACCGGGGCCCTTTCTATAGGGCGCTCCGAGGCACCATGCGGCCCCTCGAGGGGTCGAGACCTCCAGGGGCCGACGTCATGAAAAAAGTCGTGTCGTGGTGGGCCTGGGTTGCTCGGTCTACACAGTGTGCGGGCCCGCCGCGGGGAGATCTGGACGCCCTGCCTGGGACGCGCCACCGCTCGCGCGCCCATTCTCCCTGTGCGCTGTCCGACCTCGTGCGCGCGTTGCTTCGCGAGGTGGTCCCAGATGCTCCGCGATGGTCCTCGCCGAGAACACATGCACACGCCCGAGCAATGCCAAGGGGACTGGATGTTTATCCCGAATGGCTCTGTGACGGTCCCTGGGCCCGGTGCGCAAGGGACCCCCCGAGACCGAGGACTGCTCAAATGACCTCCCGTCGTGATCATTCTCCACGACGAGAGGAGGTGGGGGGCACCTCTGGGGCGCGGCATCAGGGGACCGCGGGGACGCCCAATCCAAGCGTGCATGCCAGTGCTGGGGGGACCCCTAAGGGGCCCCCCCAGCACTGGCATGCACCGAAGGTCACTCTGGCGAAAGGTCACTCTTAATAGTAGCCGATTTTGGGCCCCCGACGCGCGAACGAGCAGCTACCTCTGACCGCCCGCGGCCACGGTGGTGCGGGAGTGGTTGAGCGCCCGAGTTGGCCGGTATCACTTCGGTCCGGGGTATCTCTTGCTGCATTTATCCTTGACCGCCCCCAGCCCTGATGATTCGGCGCTCTGAGGACCCGACTCCCATAGGACCCGTGTCTCGGCGGCGAGCCCCCGGGGAGAAGTGAGAAGGGGCGGGCTTTCTCAGAAGGCTCGGAAGCCTCCCGGCCTCCTAAGAAGTTGTCGAAGCCTTCCCCGAAGGCACCGAAAACGTCTCAGAAGGCGCGAGGGCTTCTGAGAAGTCCCGCCGCCTTCTGAGAAGGCCTTCTCCTCCTCCCTTCCCCACCAGGCGCGCCGCCGAACTTGGTATTTGGATGATAGCTCGGGTATCCAGCAGCCGTTCGGGACGATCCAGGGACCCCCAGAACGCCCTCGGCAAGCCCTGCCCGACCCTTCTGGTACGCCTCACATGACAAACGAGGCGAGAAATAAAAAAAAAATGTGCCCCTGGCCCAAAGCGCGCCCAGCTTTTCGCTCAATCTTGGAGTGGGGCCCCCTGGACCTCGTGAGGGGTGCTCTGTGGAGGCCGCGAGGGTCTGCTTAGACATCCTGGGGGGCACCCTGGGCCGGGGGCACTTCTAGCAACACGCAACCCCGAGACATTGGCGCCAATGCCAACGCCAGCGACAACGGCGGCGGTGCGCGGCGGCACGCACGACTGCGCAGAGCGGCGGCGGCGCCGACGAAGCCGCCGTGGCGGGCCTGCGCGCTGCGGACTCAGCCACTCAGGGATCAGCTCGACCTCGGCCTCGGCGTCCTCGTCGCGGGCGGGCCTCTCCCGATGCCCCCCCCTCGTCGTGGCTCGGACGCGCACACCCCCGTGCAATTGTCGGTTTCGTGCGTTCACTGTTTCGCAAGATGATCCAGGGTGCTCCTCGATGGTCCTCGCCGGGAAAATGTGCGCGCGTCCGAGCGATGCCACGTCCCTGAGATCCTGGCGTCTTAATCGCTCCGGGTCCAGGTGAGAGAGGGGTCGTCAGAGCCCACTCCGCCGCCGGGAGCGCTGCAGCACAAGCAAGCCGCGCTGGGCGCAGGCACGAGGCAGAAGCCCAGAGGATCGCCGCGCTGATGTATCATTGCATGGTGTCTGCCGTGCGTTGTGTGAGCGTGGCGGGCCCGTTCCGAATCCCACTCGAGAGGTGGCCGATTCAGAGGGCCGCACACAACTCTCGGCAAGTTCTGCCCGATTGCGTCAAAGAGTGCGTCCAGACTGCACGACATGCGGCACAGCGTCCACGGCACGGCATCCAAAGCAGCACGGCTGAATCAGTGTCCTCATCACCATGATCTGCTGGAATGGCACATCAGCAAGTGCTGGAGCGGCGAATACGTCAAGCGCACGTGGCACGATACTGCTGCACACGATGCTGTATGGCTGCGCAGCAGCGCAGGACAGATGGCCGACTCCAAAAACCCGGAATCCGAACACGTGGGCGGGCCTCTCAATTGCCAGCGGAACAGCCGCCGTTTTATTCATTTGTGTGCACAGCACTGCGCCCATTGCACCTTCAGGACGGACGCTTCTGTGGAGAGCCTAGGGTCAAAATCAACCAGCGTGCGGTGCACAATGTGGCTCTTCGCATCGAGGATGGTGGCCGCCGTTCTACTTCCGCAAGCCTCCGCAGAAGGCAAGACACGCCGAAATCCAGGCCTGGTCTGCAACACCCACATCCGGATAGTACACTCGCGAACAACGTTCGGTCCACAACACCCCTGGGTTGGAACACTGCTGCTGCCGCAAGGTCTCTGGAAGGAGGCGGCACAGGGGGGCATGCCCTGTCTCCTCGGCCGCTCCCTCCTGCTGGTACCTAGCGTTTGTTTTTTCGGCCCTGGATGACCGAGGAGAGAGGTATTCACACGTGTTCGTAGGGCTCTCAACGTCCGTACGCTTGCTCTGCCTCCATGAACTTCTGCGGGCGCACCGCTCGTTGCTCGGGGGGGGGGGGGAGAACCAGGTAACGTCAAGCAGCTTGAACGGGGTGGGGCACGTCCGGGCGTGGCTGCGCTGCGATCGCCACAGCATGCGCGCGAGCACCAGGGGTGGGGGTCTGGCTGGGGTATCGGCCGCTACGCGCTGGACGATAACAAAAATCAGTTTCTCCTTCGCAGGTTGTAGACAATTCCTCGCCGCCGCCGTAGGGCGGGCGAGGCGTTTCCTCCCCACCGCTCCTGACCCTGAGCCATGCCACAACTTCATGGCCGGAGAGTGGCTCCTTGTCAAGATGGGATGGCTGGATAATGACCCCCAAATTTATCTCGAACTCCTGCTCATCATGAAACCCTCCCCCAACCCCGCTGACGTCTTTACATGGCGCAAAAATAATGATCGAAGCGATTTTCCAGTAATGTAATGTCTTTTGCCCCTGCTCCCCAGCTCGGACCAGACCAGCAACGCGCCATGGGGCTGACCCAGCAGACAGACAGAGCCACCACACCTTGCTCTCCAGACGGAGTCGCGTCGTGAATCGATCAGGACGGGAGGTTTTTTTTCTCTGTCTTCGGCCACCGGGGGCCCTCGCCAGGCCCCGGGACCGTCGACAAAGACTTAGGAGGAAGAACTGGCCCTGGTGAAAGAGTCGGGACTTCTGGGGTGGGACTTCCGGGGGCCTCGTATCAAAAAACAAACACACACAAGACATCGCATGTCTGGCGCACCTGGTACCAATACCATGTTGACTCTGCCAGCACACGAGCCCCCCAGGGCTGGGAGCTGGTCCTCCCCCTCTTCCTCGTCCTCCTCCTGCTCTTCCTGCTGCTCCTCCTCAGTCTCCTCATCATCCTCCTCCTTCTCCTTCTCTCCCCACCCTTCACTGTCCACAAGTTCCCAACCCCTCCCCCCTCATGCCCCTCGTTCCAACACTTGCTCCATCGCCCAGGCCTGTGGAGAGCGCCTCGCGCCCTCCCCTCTCCCTCACAGATTCAGGCCCCTACGTCCCCCCTGCTCACTACTCCTCATTATTCTCCGATGCGACCCTTGTCATGATATGCCTCAGGCCGCGATGCACGCTGAGCACAACGCGCTCGCCCCAAGGAGAATCATGCCTGACACTGATACCAAATATTCCTTCTCCTCCTCCTGCTCCTGATCAAGAGGCCCCCATAGTCTTTTTTTCCCAACCCTCCTGCGTTGGGTTCTCGTTTTGAATCGAGCACTGCTCGCGCGAACCTTCTTTCATTCCTTCCCGCCCCCTCCTGCCCCTCTCTTCCCCCTTGCCTTTCGCCTCGCTCGTCGCCATCCCTGGGGGGCAGCGATCTGCGAAACTGTCGCAACTTTCGAGGGCTGCTGGGGGGCCCAGCACAGTCTGCACCCGCGGCGGACTCAAATGGGACCTCGCCATCCTTGGGGGGCTGCGATATGCGAAACAGTCGCCACTTTCGAGGGCCGCTGGGGGGCCCAACACAGTCTGCACCCGCGGCGAACTCAAATGGGACCTCGCCATCCTTGGGGGGCTGCGATCTGCGAGATTGTCGCCACTTTCGAGGGCTGCTGGGGGGCCCAGCACAGCCTGCACCCGCGGCGGGCTCAAATGGGACCTCGCCATCCCTGGGGGGCTGCGATCTGTGAAACTGTCGCCACTTTCGAGGGCTGCTGGGGGGCCCAGCACAGTCTGCACCCGCGGCGGGCTCAAATGGGACCTCGCCATCCTTGGGGGGGCTGCGATCTGCGAAACGGTCGCCACTTTCGAGGGCTGCTGGGGGGCCCAGCACAGTCTGCACCCGCGGCGGACTCAAATGGTACCTCGCCATCCCTGGGGGGCTGCGATCTGCGAAACCGTCGCCACTTTCGAGGGCTGCTGGGGGGGCCACCGCAGTCTGCACCCGCGGCGGACTCAAATGGGACCTCGCCATCCCTGGAGGGCTGCGATCTGCGAAACTGTCGCCGGGGGGGGGCCCAGCAAAGTCTGCACCCGCGGCGGACTCAAATGGGACCTCGCCATCCCTGGGGGGCTGCGATCTGTGAAACGGTCGCCGCTTTCGAGGGCTGCTGGGGTGCCCAGCACAGTCTGCACCCGCAGCGGATTTAAATATGACCTCGCCATCCCTGGGGGGGGGGCTGCGATCTGCGAAACTGTCGCCACTTTCGAGGGCTGCTGGGGGGCTCAACACGGTCTGCACCCGCGGCGGACTCAAATGTGACCTCGCCTTTGGGGGGCTGCGATCTGCGAAACTGTCGCCACTTTCGAGGGCTGCGGGGGGGCCCAGCACAGTCTGCACCCGCGGCGGACTCAAATGTGACCTCGCCGTCCTTGGAGGGCCGCGATCTGCGAAACTGTCTCCACTTTCGAGGGCTGCTGGGGGGGGGGAGGGGGCAGCACAGCCTGCACCCGCGGCGGACTCAAACGTGACCTCGCCCTCCCTGGGGGGCTGCGATCTGCGAAACTGCCGCCACCTTCGAGGGCTGCTGGGGAGCCCAGCACAGTCTGCACCCGCGGCGGGCTCAAATGAAACCTCGCCGTCCCTGGGGGGGGCGCGATCTGCGAAACTGTCGCCACTTTCGAGGGCTGCTGGGGGACCAGCACAATCTGCACCCGCGGCGGACCAAAATGGTACCTCGCCATCCCTGGGGGGCTGCGATCTGCGAAACTGTCGCCACGTTCGAGGGCTGCTGGGGGGGGGGCAGCACAGTCTGCACCCGCGGCGGACTCAAATGGGACCTCGCCATCCCTGGAGGGCTGCGATCTGCGAAACTGTCGCCACCTTCGAGGGCTGCTGGGGGGCCCAGCACAGTCTGCACCCGCGGCGGGCTCACATGGGACCTCGCCCTCCCTGCGGGGCTGCGATCTGTGAAGCCGCCGCCACTTTCGAGGGCTGCTGGGGGGGCCAGCACAGTCTGCACCCGCTGCGGATTCAAATGGGACCTCGCCATCCCTGGGGGGGGGGGCTGCGATCTGCGAAACTGTCGCCACTTTCGAGGGCTGCTGGGGGGGGCCCAGCACAGCCTGCACCCGCGGCGAACTCAAATGTGACCTCGCCATCCCTGTGGGGCTGCGATCTGCGAAACTGTCGCCACTTTCGAGGGCTGCTGGGGGGGGGGGGGGGGGGCAGCGCAGTCTGCACCCGCGGCGGACTCAAATGGGACCTCGCCATCCTTGGGGGGCTGCGATATGTGAAACTGTCGCCACTTTCGAGGCCTGCCGGGGGGGGGGGGGGGGGGGCGGCACAGTCTGCACCCGCGGCTAACTCAAATGAAACATCGCCATCCTTGGGGGGCTGCGATCTACGAAACCGCCGCCACTTTCGAGGGCTGCTGGGGGGCCCAGCACAGCCTGCACCAGCGGCGGGCTCAAATGTGACCTCGCCATCCCTGGGGGGCTGCGATCTACGAAACTGTCGCCACTTTCGAGGGCTGCTGGGGGGAAGGGGGGGGAGGCGCACAGTGGGTACCCACGGCGGATTCAAATGAGACCTCGCCATCCCTGGGTGGCTGCGATCTGTGAAACTGTCGCCACTTTCGGGGGCTGCTGGGGGGCCCAGCACAGTGGGTACCCACGGCGGATTCAAATGGGACCTCGCCATCCCTGGGGGGCTGCGATCTGTGAAGCTGTCGCCACTTTCGAGGCCTGCTGGGGGGGGGGCACAGCACAGTGGGCTTCCCGCGCGTTTTTCTCCTGCTCTTCGTTCCCGACTCCCCATGTCCTCTTCGAGCCTGTAGTTGTCGCCCCTCGTTCTTGTATGGTTCTCCTGCGCATCATTCCATTGACGCGTCGCGTGTCCCAAATAGCTTACATGTCAAACAACGGATCCTGCAATTTGATT